ATATTTCTTCAAAGGGAATAACTTCGCCATTTCCTACTTTTTCACTTTTTTAAAAAATAATTGCTTATGGATTTCTTTGTTTTTAAGTATATTATTATATTTGCTTGCAATTATTAATAAAATAAACTACCAACACAGGCGCTACACATGAACAGATCTGAAGAGAAAGCAAGAGACAGCTCTAGGTGAAGATGGATTGATGATATTAAAGAGAGTCTAAATCTACACGGAATGACAATAGCTAATGCTGCCCATCAAGCAATGGAGGTAGAGGCAGTCGCTGCTGCCTTCCGTTGGCTTGAGAATCAGCCGTAAACACATGTCGTCATTGTAACGGAATCACAGAGCATGCCCAGAAAGGTGGAGACAGGCATGCTCCGTGCAGAGTGGCAAGCATCACTTCAGAGGTCCCGGGTAGTTAGCATCCTTTGGATATTTTCTCCAGGTCACGCCGGTGTGTTGGGAAATGAGCAGGCGAATAGACTAGCCGGTTATGCACCACTTGGTGGTGAACTGATATATGACAAGATGGATGTTGTGAGGGCATTTTTGGAGCTAGTGAATAGTGCCGAGGAACACATAGATCATTACGGTCTGAGGATAATGGCACTGTGAGGAGTTACAAGGGGATCTGGCCGACTCTCGACACTCGGTTAGGGGCGAGACGAATGTACAATCAGGCTGTTTCTGTTACCATCGGAATTTTAACTCTTCGCTTGCTGCTGAAGTTTTGGACAGAGCGCTTATGGGAGTGTCCCGAGTGCTGTGATGTCGATTCTTAATTCAACATCCAACATTCAAGCGATGGTTCGCAGACTGTACCTTCCCACAACGTTTAGCAGCAGAAGTGGAAACTAATGATGATGATGATTAAAAACATAATTTCAAACTATATGTTGAATTGCAAATACGTATAGTGATGTACTTAAAAACAATGAAATGCATAAATACTACCTTGAAAAGATCATTTCTGTACAACATTATTGGGCTGGCGGGAGTGAGTGGTCACCAGCCCTCCCCTACCTAATTATTTGTCTAAACAGCGTTTCTCAATCTGTGGATCGCGACCCCTTTGAGGGTCCGAAGATCTTTTCACATGGGTCTCCAGAGATCATAGGAAAACACATATTCAATGATGTTATGAATAAGCACCGAAAATAATTGTGTGGTTGGGGGTAACCACAACATGGGGAACCGTATTAAAGTGTGGCGGCAATAGCAAGGTTGAGAACTACTGGCGAAGTGCAGTCGTAATGGGGTGAAGAGGGCGTGGCCTGGGGAAGTCCCCCAATGCATAATTTGATGGGTGTTTGAGCCCACCCAGTTGATGCCCAACGGTGAGGAGGGCGTGGTCTGGGGAAGTCCCTCAATGCATAATTTGATGGGTGTTTGAGCCCACCCAGTTGATGCCCAACGATGGGGAGGGCGTGGTCTGGGGAAGTCCCTCAATGCATATTTTGATGGGTGTTTGAGTACCCACCCAGTTGATGCCCAACGATGGACGTGGTTGGGGGTGTGACTGAGCCTCTCCCCCTTGGCAAACTTTCCAACTTTCAATTTGGGGGGGGGGGGGCTGGGGGTGGGGGAGGGAGGGGAGCCGTCTTGTTGACAGTATTTTGAAGAGAAAAAAATCGCCACGTTAAGCCAGCATCCCCGAAGGAGAAGCTTTAGGTTATAATTGTGACTAGGTTGTGTGCGCCATTTAAAATGGCTTAGCATTGCACGTTACTAAGTAGCCCTGAAAAGGACTTCTGTAGTGTTGACGCGATCAAAGGAGACAGACCTAAATATTGTCTTCACCTTTCACGAAGTCGTCTATTGGCGAGCGAATGGAAGAACTGAAACACAATTAACGTGCACCTGATAATGATGTTTGGTAAAAAGTAACCGATAGACAAACGGCTGTTAGTGTAAGTACAAAGTTTTGATACTAGACATGGCTCTAAAAGGTGAGGTCGCTCCAATGTTGTTATTCTGCAGGTTGATTGCTAAGTTATTGTAGTTCCATTACTGGAATCTCGTCTTATTAGTTAAGTTTTTGCTTCACTTCCAAAGTACAGTTACTTATCGCAAAATTAGGTCCTGGCTGGTGTATCTAGGTTAGTTGCGTATCCTTTTCAGGTCGTTGCAGACTGAGTTCACTGAGAACCAACCCCCAAAAGCTCCTTTCAAAAACCACAGCCAGGAGTCCTAGCTGTGGTTTTTCTAGGCAAATTGACGTCCAGTAGTTTGCCATGGCCACTGGACGGTCGGCTTTCTTGATACCACTGTCGAAACCAACGCAAGGTACATGGGCCGCAGCTGCGATCGAACCCGGCATTACGAAGCGTTCGCATCGACTTAGCCACAGAGCCGACGGTCCTGGCTGGCTGGACGGCTATCCTCCGAACTTCGGGCACTAAAGATGGCGGCTGCAAAATATCCTTTCGAGTCACAGTCACGAGTTAATTGCGTACTTCCGGCGACTTAATTTGCTGTTTTCCGGCGACTACCGCCACTGCCACGAGGCTCCCACACCGCTCATGCGGCGTGGATTGGGGCTAAACTAGATGGCTATTACCCACGAGCAGCAGCTTCCGCATCTCCTGAAGCTTTGCTCGAAAATCCTATCCATCTAGTTTAGCCCCAATCCACGCCTCGTGGGGGCCTTGTGGCGGTAGGCCCCGGAGAACCGCAAATTAAGTCACGTGACTGTGGCTCGAAAGGATATTTTGCGGCCGCTATCTTTAGTGCCCGAAGTTCAGAGGATAGCCGGCTGAATATATACTAGTTATACTAAAATTGCAGTTACAGTGCAAACTCGGCGACGAACCCTTCTTGGTAAAGACAATGTTTTTAAATTTTACTGTTTCTCTTCTGCCTTCTGGGTCTCATTTGCGTGAGTATAATAATAATAATATACTTTACCCACTTTACTTACAGAACGTTGTAAAACTAACCCCAGCATATTTTATTGGTTGTTTATGATTTCACTAGGCAATTTTACATTTACTAGTTATTTCCTTCTGAATCAAATGGTCTGTTTTCAGTACTTCTGTCAAAACCGATGCAAGGTGGTCTGCTGTTAAATCGCCCCCAGATGGGATCACACCTGGCAATCACAACGCCTATGCCCCAGACGCCGTGTCATCACCTGATGTTATCTCATCTTGATCCTCTGGTACCTTACATTGAGGCGAATAATCTACAGAAAAAAGCCAGTTTAAGTGTTCTGTGTGACATTGCAATTTCCGTGGACTCTGTAATTCCCTCTGTCCATAATTTGCATGTTTAGCCTCTTCTTCACATCCCTTCTGGTCTTTACATCATGGCATATGTGGGGTGACCCGTTTGCTATGAAGCTGAAACTAGGATTACCAGATTACATCATGGCTTGCTGTGATAACTGTCTGCTGACATTCGTGTTATGGGGCCAAACTATTTCACCTTTTTCTTCTAATTCTTCTTCGTTCACCAGCTGTGAATTCTGGTTAATCGCTCGCTTGGACTTTTGGCTTTGACTTGGACCTGAGTTTTGCGTGTACAACCGTTTTACTGGCTTTTGCCGTTCCCTGCCTCACGGGCAGATGTACTCCGACTTTGAGGAAAGACGTCAGGCCTATTTCTAGGATGACTGGCCATTGTTTTGTGTGATCAAGATGTTGCCTGATTTGTGTGGTGATCCAAAGGGTTGGGTTGAAATCTGAATGGAGCCTGTGTTGAAGAAATAAAAAAAGAGAACTTTGTTTCCAGGTCAACCCAGCCTTAAATATGCACAAGGTAAAGTCCTGGGAAGTAAATATGGTCCTCATGATGTTTACCGCATCACTCACTGAAAGCCAACCATAAAATGTGTTCTAGCACTATATACACCTGAAATCATGGGAAAGGGCCCTTTACTGAAAGAGGGGTGGCATGGTATGAACTTTTCAGGTTCAGCTGCAACTCTTCTGTGGATTATCTGCTGTTTTTGGTCTGGCACATTGAAATTTACCCTGCTTTTCTGTTATAATGAGCTTCTCTAGCTAGTCTTCTTAAAAAAATAAAATGTTGTGGGGTTAGCGTTCACCAGCTGTAAACTCAAAGAAAATACTTCCAATTAGTCACCTCTTTTGACATGCTTATTGGGAGAGGGGGGGGGGGGAACAGTGGGTCTGTTCTCAAAAATGTCGCCTGGAATCAAATGGGAAGCTTCCTTAGTCCATAGTTCTCCAAAACCTATCCATTTGACAATTGACATTTGTGATTAGAGTTTCTTTTTCCAAATGGATTGCTGTCACCAACTGATGGGCTCCTGCTGCTTTTCATATATCTGTTTCATGACAGAATGAGATTATAAAGAGGTGAGACCATCTCCTGCATGTTTTAAATCCCACCCTGGAAGCCCAGGGTGTCTTTTTTTGTCATTTTTCTACCTTTTGACCTGTCTGGCTTGGGAGACAATGCTGTTGGCTGCACTATCAGCGGTATAGCTCTCAAAGTTGTTGAGAATCTCAAGCTTCTCCCATCACAACAAGGTGAAGAAAACCTTGGGGAATACACAAGCATTACTTTGAATCCCCAAGTTGTTCCGGGACCCCATTTTGAGGAAAACAAGAATAAGCCCACTGACTCCCCAACAAGCATATCATAAGAGTCAACTAATTGGGGGCTTCCTTCGAAGTCGGAGTGTATTTGCCTGAGAGGCAAGAAACCAACAATCTGTATACAATTAAGTCAGATCTGTTGAACAGATATGCACGCAACACTCAGGTTCTGGAACAAGACTAAATTCCAGATGTGGAGTTTACAGCCAGTGAACCCAAAGAAGATTACTTTGTAAATATCCGAGTAGTGTACAACGTGTGTTGAACCAGGTCTCCTTCAGTTAACCTTGTAAAATATTTCAGATTTTCGGCTGCACTCTGGAGTCTAACCTTGGCATGTCCACGACATTGATATACAGGTTTACAGGCTTACTCAGTTGTCACCACTGATGGTTTCCTAGTGACAAAAAAAAACTACAAAAGGTAACAGGGAAAATGACAACTTGGTGCATTCTTAGCAGTATGTTCCGAAGATTCAAATGCAGCAAGCGCGGTCTGGAGATGTCATTGAGAGCCTGTGTTCAGGCTCAGAAAATGCAAGCAGGGGCCCAGCTTGATCTGTGTGCCAGAGGAATGATGGGATGTATTAATACACGTCTGCTGCACATTGGCCATCAGGACCTTAGCAAGAGGCTGCCGCCTGGAGTACAGCAAAAACGGGTGAGCTTCGAGACATTAGTGTTGTTTGTTTGTTTGTTGTGAATGCTGTGCCATTTTGTGTCTTTGATTGGTCTATTTTTAGATTGTTCTATGATACACATCACTGTGAAACACATTGTTCTGTGATATACATGACTGTGAGACACATTATTCTACAATACACATGACTATGAAACACATTGTTCTGTGATACACATAACTGTAAAACATATTATTCTGTGGTACACATGTCTGTGAAACATTGTTCTACGATACACATGACTATAAAACACATTGTTCTGTGACACACATGTCTGAAACTCACTGTGCTATGATACACATGACTTTGAATCAGATTGGTCTATGATACACATGACTGGAGAACATATTATTCTGTGGTACACATGTCTGTGAAACACTGTTCTATGATACACATGAATGTGAATCAGATTGGTGTGTGATACACATGTATGTGAAACACATTGTTCTGTGACACACATGACTGGAGAACATATTGTTCTTTGATACACATGACTGTGAAGCACATTGTTCTGTGATACACATGGCTGTTAAACACATTGTTCTGTGATTCACATGGCTGGGAAACACATTGTTCTGTGATACACATGGCTGGGAAACACATTGTTCTGTGATACTCATGGCTGGGAAACACATTGTTCTGTGATACACGTGGCTGGGAAACACATTGTTCTGTGATACACATGGCTGGGAAACACATTGTTCTGTGATTTACATAACTGCGTAACACATTTTAGCTGCTTTTGGCTTACATTAGCTCAGTAAAACACATTGTCCTATAAAACACATTCCTCTGTTAAACATGTTTCTATGTGTGAAACACAAAGTTCTATGAAACATATTGTTCTGTGATACACATGGCTGGGAAACACATTGTTCTGTGATACACATGGCTGGGAAACACATTGTTCTGTGATACACATGACTGGGAAACACATTGTTCTGTGATACACATGACTGGGAAACACATTGTTCTGTGATACACATGACTGGGAAACACATTTTAGCTGCTTTTGGCTTACATTAGCTCAGTTAAACACATTGTCCTATAAAACACATTCCTCTGTTAAACATTTTTCTTTCTGTGAAACACATAGTTCTATGAAACATATTGTTCTGTGATACACATGACTCTCTTAAACACACTGCTGTATAAAACACATTGTTCTATGAACTACACGATTTGGTTGAAACAATGTTCTGTAAAACACATTGCTTTGCGAACCACATGATATGGTAAAATGGTATTCTGTGAAACACATTTTTCAATGAAACACATGACTACATGAAACATATTGTTTTATAAACCACTTGATATTGTGAAAAGTGTTCTGTGAAACATATAATTCTGTAAATCACATGGTTTGGTGAAACACATTGTTCTGTAAACCACACGATATTGTGAAACATTTATCTGTGAAACACATGGCTAAATAAAACATGTAGTTCTATGAACTATGTGATCTGGTAAAACATCGCTCCGTGAAACGCATGATTCAGTGAGAAACAACATTCTGTGAAACAGATGGCTCACTGAAACACATTGAAACAGATTCTATCTGAAACAGCATTTCCTAATAAAACAAATTGCCCTGTGAAACATTACATCATGAAATATCTTTGTGAGAGACATTCGGTTGAAAGTCACATAGATATCATAGAATAAATGTCATATGTGAGCAAAATGTCATGTTTTTATGACACCTGTTCTCTTCAGAAACCTTTGAAGATGACTAAGGGGATTAGTCTCTCCAGAGTACACGTCCACAATGGCATGACAATAGAAATGCTTGCTGCGGCCATGAACAAGTCCATGGGTAATTTATGTTTTAGTTACTGTGTTAGCTCAGAAACTTCTTCATGAAAGTTCTGGTTGTTTGTCCACTTCTGAACTTTAGTCTTGTTCCAGAGCGACTATTGCCTGCACATCCATTTTACAGATCTGGTATATTTGTATGCAGGCTGTTAGTTCCTTGCATCTCAGGCAGATGCCTTCTGACTTTAGAGGAAACATGCCTAACTTGTCAACTTTTACGACATGTTTGTTAGGGAGGGGGTAGCGGGTCTGTTCTTTTTGTCTGTCACATTGAGTCCCAGAACCCACACAAGGAAACCAGCATCTGGCCTTGCAGGGTGATTTCTTTGTTTTGTTGTCTCACTGCTAACAGGTTGTAGCCCAGTGTCTTGGTTTACTGTATTTGTCTTGCACTTCTTGTAAGTATTTGTTCATCTCTTTTCTGGTTTATTTTGCACCATTTATCCATCTCTTTCTTGGTCTTCCTCTCGCCTTCCTCCCAAGATGCTCTGCTGTAAAAGGTCTCATATGTTGTTTGGTCTGGCTGCATTCTCACCAGCTGTCTGAACCATTTCATTCTTTGTCTGTCAGTACAATCCAGACATGGTCTTATGAAGACTTTCCCTCTAATGCTGATATTCGTAACCCTGTCTTTTCTTGTATTGTTAGGGACCTTGGTGCAGAGATGGTGCACGTTTCACATGTAGTTATTTCTATTCTAGTGCCCTATTCATTATAGGATAACAATACCTACGTTTTTTGACTACTGAAACGATACCAACCCCTTAAAAATGCACACCCAAAGCATTGCCCTCTACCTTCTTGAAACCATTGACCTACACTTATTCTCTTCAGATGACATGCACTTCTTCATTCACCAGCTGTTAGCTCCAGTGCTAACTTATGGATGCGAGAGTTGGAAAGCAGCGGTAGCTCTAGATTAAAAAAAAAAAATTGACAACTTTTGAGAACAGAAGAATACTTAATCTGCAATGGACACATTTCAGATTTAATACACAAATAAGACAGGAGACCAAGCAAGAAAATGTATCACATTTTATAAGAAAGCACCGCTGAAACTACATCGGCAGAATGGCTAAGACCAGGATCCCCATCAAACCCTCATATAGACACCAGGAGGGAAAATGAAATAGGGAGACCCTGCGTCAAACCGTCGTCAGGGACCACTCAGCCATGGGCCTAATGAACATTCGAGAGCTAAAACAGGTGGCAGCGAACCGCCAGACATGGAGAGCTATTACCTCTGCACTATGCACCGCCCGAGGTTTAAAAGGAAAGACTAACTTCTCTTACTCTCTTTTGGTCAGTCTTGTCAGTCATTAGTTTTTCAGTCCATTTTTTCTCTACACTACACAGTCTAAGTTTTATTGTTCTAATAAGTTTACAACTTCTACCTGTCACAAGCAGGATCTCTGATTGAGTTAATAATTGTGTAAGCACGAATGTTTTATGAGAGTCGCTTTGGCGTAGCAGCTATATGCTCGCATACGGATCAGAAAGTTGTGCCCTCACTACCTGGAGGAGCTGGACTTTTCAAAAAAATGACCTTGACTCCCAGGTCGACCCAGCCTTGAGTGGGTACCGGGTGCAGTCCCGGGAAGTAAAGGCAGCCGGGGTGATGCTGACCACATCACCCATCTTGTGCTGATTAGTCTATAAGAATAAAGGTCTAGCCCTATATGCCCTCTACACCTAAAGGTGTAGAAAGGAGACCTTTACTTTACTATGAGTGTTTCATACTCTGACATCAGTACTGGCTAAGAGATAAAAGTTGCTGATTCTCTCATTTCCTCTTAACATTTAAGTTATTTGTAGTCTATATTATGACGTGTCATCTCCAAAGATTATTGGGCAGACACTGGTTGCTGGTCCTTTGCTAGACACAACGTCAGAAGCCATGTCGTCAGTGTCAGGCTCACACACACACACATATATATATATATCTATACATGCAGCAAATTGCATGCCTCTATCCTTACCCAGCTTAATGGACACGAGAGTGCACGCACACACACACCACCCACACACACATATATATGTATGTGCGGCAAATTGCATGACTCTGTATCCTTACCCAGCCTAATGAACGTGAGGATGCAGTTCGAAGCTGCCAGACATTACAAAGTAAAATAAAGAACCCTTTTCCGAGTCTTCATGTGTATTTGACTGGGGCTAGCAGATGTCAAGGCCCTTTGGGAACAAGCAACGGAATCAGTAGAGAAAGAAGATTATTATGGCCTAGAGAGAATGAGGCACCTGGGTGTAACTAGAGGGTCTGGCCGGCTCACTACGCTCAGAGGAAAGAAAGACCAACATATGGCCAGATTGTAACCGTTAAGATTATAATTGGACTCTGCTCTGGCTGCTAAAGATGAGGATGGAGCACACATGGGAATGACCCGAGTGCTGTGATGTCAATTCTTGGCTGAACTGGATTGGGGTTAGATCTATATTTTACAGATGAACTGGCACTCAGTGGGTTGTGTGGTCAGCTTAATGCCAGTCGCCATTACTTCCCTTGACTTGATTTAGTACTGATTTAAGACTCAGTTGACCTGGGAGTCAAGGTCATTTTTAAAAGAAAAAAAAAACACTCAGGTTCCTCCAGGACCTAAACCCATGACTTTCAGGTCCGCGGGCCAACTTCTAGCCACTACACCACAGTGGCACCTTTTCTTTTGTCAGTACAGAACAATCATTATCACTTGTTTGACTGGCTCTCATATGAGAGACCTGAGTTCAAACCCCAGTTTGATGGTGGGAGTTTTTTTTTATGGGGAAAGGGGGAGAAATAAAACTCCTAAACTGCACAGTCTATGGTTGCAGCACTAGCCTAGCAGCACTACATCCTCAGGCTCATGACCTTCCTGTCTGCAGGGCCCTTAAAAGCTGGAAATACAGACACACGTGGCAGTTTTATACTTGTGGAGCCGTTGAGGAGGAGATAAGAGCAGCTGGATCTATATGTGGACTTCCGGTCAAAATGGACGCTAGGCAGGGACACTGTTCGGAGCCGAGGCAAATTTTTTGCTTCTGCCGGACGGTGGCCGATGCAGTTTTGCTCCATTTGTAGACTGGATATAGATTCATCGCCCAGCTTCTGAGTTGAATGCATGGCGTGACACTGTGAACTGCAGATTTCATTTGGAATGTTTTCGACTGTGACCAACGTGGTGGTGTGACTTGTAGATTCATAAAATGGCGCGATGCCTGTCGTGCAATGTTGGTGGTGCCCGTATGTGATTAAAATTGATCACGTGGGCAACTGCTGATCTTTTGGTGACTTCTGCTACCATCAATGATGAACTACATTTCTAATGTCGGACTGTTTGTGTTAGCACTTCAGATGGCTACCGTATGCTTTTAATGTGAGTGTATGCTAGATTTGCTGGGACAGCAGTCTGTCAATCTTTCCACAAGGGACCATGATAAACATTCTGTGTTTTGTTGTTGTTGGCACAGGAGCGGAGCAAAGATGGGGTGACCGGTTTGCTATGAAGCTGAAACTAAGACTACTACTACTACATATGTGGACAACTGTGATGATATTACTAACTAATCACTGCCATTTTCTCTGTTGCAGATCATGTATATGAAGTGCTGTTTCACATTCCAAAGACAGAGTGTTATGATCATGATGAAGCAGGTATGTGGCCACTGTGTAAATCATTCTTTATGACCTGAACCTATAAATGTCAGTCAGAAGGTCCTTTACAGAATATCACTGTCTTTATGGCAACTGAAAGTCTCTTTCTGTAGCCAGTTCTCCAGCCTAGTGTGCTTTCATAGCCAGAATGCATCTTCAGTGTCTTGTGCCCACCTTCACCAAGGTCGGCCTGTGCCTTATTTTCCAGAAACTGTAACCTCTGTCGTTATTCTATCCAGGCAGCCATGATGTTCAGCAGGGCCACACTACTTCAGCTTTCAGGACAGGATGTTGTTTTTGAGCCAGGTCTCCTTGATGTTCAGATGATGTTTTTCTTCCCTGTGTGGGTTCCAGGGCCCCATTATGTATGTGTGTGTGTGTGTGTGTGTGTGTGTGTGTGTGTGAAGAGACCTACTGCCTCTGTAATAAGCATGTTGTAAGAGTCCACTAATTGTGGGTTGCCATCAGAGTCTGAATGCATGTGCCAGAGAGGTATGGAACCAACAGTCTGCAAACAAATAAGCTAGATCTGTAAAAATGGATGTGCACACAAAACTCAGCTTCTAAAGTTCAGTGGTGGACGAATAACCAGAACTTTCTGTCGGGAGCTTACATCCGGTGACCAGAAAGAAGAGGAAGAATTGATCTAGAAAGCTGATAAAGATAGCTTTTTTGAATAATTTTAAGCGTTGATCCTTGAGTACAATCAGTGTGTCGTTTCTTTCAGTTTTGGACCAGCAGACGATCATTGATGTTGTCAAAAAATCTGGAATGATTCCAGAGTTTGTCAGTAAAAAGGAGGAAGAAGAAGAGAAGAATGAGGATGTTGTCAGGCAGTGAGTATTTGTGGTGGTTGTTATTCTGCTGTAGTAGTAGCAGCTGCCTTGTTTTGATGTCATTTTTGGTAAATGGTTTGAAAGAAGAATGTGGTCAAGCAATTAGAGTGCCAACCTGATATTTCATAGAAAAGATGGTTGCATTGTTATGTGTCAGCCAGCAGGTCTTGGATAAGGGGATTTAGCACTAGAGTGTCAGACTGCAAGTCTGGGATAAGGTGATTTGGCACTTAGAGTATTAGCCTGCGTCTAGGATAAGGTGATTTAGCACTAGAGTGTCAGCCAGCAAGTCTTGCATAAGGTGATTTAGCACTAGAGTGTCAGCCAGCAAGTCTTGCATAAGGCGATTTAGCTCTAGAGTGTCAGCCAGCAAGTCTTGCATAAGGGGATTTAGCACTAGAGTGTCAGCCAGCAAGTTATGCATAAGGTGATTTAGAACTTAGAGTGTCAGCCTGCAAGTCTTGGATAAGGTGGTTTGGCACTTAGATTGTCAACCTGCAAGTCTTGGATAGGGTAATGTAACACTTAGAGTATTGGCTTTGGTGAAGATGTGGTTGAGCATTTAGAGTGCCGGCCTTATAGGTCTTATAGAGAGTTACATTCAATAGGAAGAGAAGAAGGAAGATGTTATCAGGCAATAAAGCTGGCTGTGTATCTGTTAATTGTAAAATGAGGTCAGTCAGTTTATTATGAATGCATGACCCACACCAGGCCCTCTGTGTGTCTAACCCTGTCTGTAAATGAACCCTCTCTGTACCTTACACCTGACTCTCCCTATACCTGACTCTCCCTATACCTGACTCTCTCTGTACCTGGCTATCTCTATACAGGCCTGCTTGCTATTGAGCAGTGCAGGCTGATCAGGAAGTTCAAGGTTTGGTGCCTCCAGTTCATGTTGATTTCCATGCTCCTCTGGCCGCTGCTTGTGTACGAGGTAAGCGTGACTGCAGTGGAGACTATGGTGAAGAACATCAACACTGTGATGAGGAAGTGGCTTGAAGCACCACCTTGTCTGACCGATGTGGCTTTATACTGTAAGCAGGCTAAGCTGGTACTTCCTTTCAAATCAATAACCGAAGAGTTTGAAGTCGGCAAGGAAAGACTTGGAATGATGCTTTGCGATATTTTCCTCTCTATACGAGACTCCTTATATGTTCCTCTCTTTACATGACGGTCTATACATGACTCTTTCCATATATTTCTCTGCCTGATGCACTAGCTAAGTTGGTTAAACCAACTGCGTGGAGACCGGGTGACCAACTCTTTGTGGTCCGAGTTCACGCTCCTGGGTCGGCAGAAAGGCCACATATTTTTCTAGATTTACGGTATCTATCATGGAATCAAGGCCGAAGGGTTGCGATATCCATGGTACCGAGCCAAAGTGTTTACAGCCCATGGTTTCTGGGTTAAAAAAACTGTTTCCCTCTAAAATGACTATACATACATACATACATACAAGACTCTCTCTATACGTTTCTGTCTCGGTGTGATCTTGTATACCTGTGATGGGCTGCAGGGGTGGTAAGACTGTTTGATTGACCCAGGGGTTTTCATTCAAGTTAAGTAATTGATTGCTGTCTGTAAAGATGCGTTTCATGTTGTTGGAATTTGACAGTTTACACTGTTACTGTTTGTTTTGCCGTCTTTTGACAGTTTACACTGTTACTGTTTGTTTTGCCGTCTTTTGATTGTTTGCATTATGATTGTTATTTCACTGTTGTAATGTGACCATTTGTGTCATTTGATTGTTGAATCATGTGACTGAATTTTATCTGCTTGTGTCATATGACTGAATTGTCTGTGCATGTCATTGTACTGTTGGCACTGTGACTGTTTGTGTCTATGATTGTTGGTATTTTGACTATTTGAATAATTTGACTGAATTTGTCTGTGTCATTATACTGTTGACTGTTTGTGTAATTTAATTGTTTGTGTTGTGACTTTGACATTAGTCTTGTTGTATGAGTGTTTCTGTTGTTGCCATTTTCCCACTGCCCTGTTGTTGGAATTATTTACTGTGGCTAATGAAATTTTTCTTGCCAGGCCTCCGCCAGACCCCAGTGTTCTGGTGCGACGTCCGCCTGTGGTGACAATCATGGGTCACGTGGATCATGGGAAGACAACTCTTCTGGATAAGTTGCGTAATTCAAACGTCGTTGACAGTGAATTTGGGGGGATAACGCAACACACAGGAGCTTTCCTAGGTCTGTGTTTATGTCTGACTTCACTTCAGTTTTTGAGATGTGTGGTTCTTCTGTCTAGTTTTGGTAGTCTGAATGTTTGTGATGTGGTGTATGACACTACTGTTTATGTGGTAACATATTGCAGATTTGTTTGGGTGGTAGTGTGTTGCATGTTTGTTGTTGTTGTAGTAGTAGTGTGTTACATAAGAGGGGGCTGAGTGGTCTCTAGGTATGGTGTCTGCCTCGAGGGCTGGAGATCCCGGCTTCAAGCCCCAGTGAAGGCTGGGATTTTTGTGGACTTCTAGTAATTTTCCCTGGTCTCTGGGTAGTGAGGTCGGATGCCCGTGTGTATTATTGTGCACATAAAAAAATTCCTTGGCAGTTGAAAAATCGAAAAGAGTAGCCTGACGGCACACTGCCTGGGTAAAATTTGGACTTTAAAATCTACCCAAAGTATTTCAGGATCCTCGTTGGTGCAACACAGAGTTTGTGCTGTTGTGTGTTCTTTTTTGGGCAAAAGGGCAGCCTGTAAAGGGCATTCATAAGAAAATGCTTCCTGTTTATGCTGACAAATGTGTATCCCTTAAAGCAGTGCATAGCTGGGTATAATAATTGTCTAAAAAATGCTCTAAAATTTGTGACTTACTTGTTGACTTCCCTTCGTATTTGTTTGTGTCAAACAAATTGCACTTTTGTTTGAGTGATAGTATATTGCACTTTTGTTTATGTGGTAACATTTGTCATTTGCAATTTGCTTGTGTGGTAACAAATTGCACTTTGTGTGGTAATATATTTTACTTATGTTTGTGTAGTAACATATTGCACCTTTGTTTGTGTGGTAGTATGTTACATAATTGTTTGTGTGGTACATATTGCACTTTTGTTTATGCTGTAACATATTGCACTTCTGTTTGTGTGGTAGTGTGTAACATAAATGTTTGTGTGGTAGCATATTGCACTGTTGGTCGTGTGGTAATATGTTACATAATTGTTTGTGTGGCACATATTGCACTGTTTGTGTGGGTACATATTGCACTGTTTGTGTGGTAGTGGATTTATTGTGAGGATCATTGCTATGAAAAGACTGCAGGTTACTTCATTGCCCTGTGGTTCCCTAGTGTTCGGGTGTGGGGGGGGGGGGGGCAATGAGCAGGCTGTTAACTTGGCTGCTGCTGCTCCCCTGTGTGGTAAGGTACTTTATGGTACGGAAAATGTGGTGAAGACTGTCTGGGATCAGGTGGACAGTTTTCAAACCATAAAATACTAACTTTGGGAAGCGGGTGGAGTGAGCAGAGGTGCTGGGGACAGAACAATTACAGACTTTTGATCAGGTGGCAGCTGGCATTGTTAGCCTGGGGATTCTTCTTTGGCTACCACACACAAGGAGACGGAGCACATATGGGAATGTACCAAGTGCTGTGATGTCAATTCTTGTTTCATTTCTTTAACTATTCATTCATTGCCAGTAAAAGGTAAAGGTCACTTTTCCGCACCTTCAGATATATTGAGCTAGACCAATATTTTTATAGACCAGTCGGCACTCAGCGGGTGATGTAGTCAGCATCACACAAGCTGCCTTTTCTTCCCAGGACTTTACCTGGTACCCATTTAAAGCTGGATTACCTGGGAGCCAAGGTTAGTTTTGAAATCAAAATATCTGGCACCATCAGGACCTGATTTCATCCCCTTGTAATGTTTTATTCAGCTGAGTAAGATTTCTGGGATTTGCTTGCACTTTCCCAGATACTTTAAATTTCTAGTGTTTGCTAAAAAAAAAAATTGTCATAGCTTCACGACTTTTAAACATATATTCATTATTTGTATTTGTTCTTCCAGATGGAATGGAGAACAAATTTCAGAAACAAAAATTAAGTAATCTTGTTTTACATCATCATCATCATGTGGCTGTAGATGGGCGCAAAGTTACGATCTCATGGGGTGTGATCAAAGTAGCTAAGCCTAACCATTGGCTGATCACATGACATGCGATCGTAGTAGTCAGTGGCTAGGTGCCAGTTCTCCAGACTGCAATCCTGGAGGAAGAAAATAAAAAATTATTTGCATTGTAATTTATAATGCTATTTTTAAAAAAATTGAAATGTTTGACAGTGTTGTTTGTGGTTGATTTTTGCAGTAACTCTACAGTCCGGGGAGTCGATATGTTTCTTGGACACACCAGGGCATGCTGCCTTCAGTGCCATGAGGGCCAGGGGGGCCGACCTCACAGACATCATCATACTAGTGGTCGCAGCAGATGACGGGGTCATGCCGCAGACAATTGAGTCTATCCGTCATGCAGAAAGTGCTGGAGGTATCCATTTTCATGTCTCTTCTACCATGAATTTCTTAGTCAGATACGATTTGTTTTGAATAAATACTGATAGAAAGTTGCAGTTTCTTTGTTTTCTGTATCTTTTGTTCCCCTTTGGGTTCCGGGACCCATTCTGGGAAGGTGGGGGTGGGACTAGACCCACTGCCTCCCCAACAGTTTTTGAATCAAGAATCGACATCACAGCACTCAGGACACTTTCATAAGTGCTCAGTCCCCATCTTCAGCAGCAAGCGAAAAGTTCCAATTCCTCCCCAACAAGTATATCTTCCAAGGTGACTAGTTAGGTAAGTGTCCTTCAAAATCAAACTTCACTTGCCTGAGAGGCAAGAAACCAGCAGTCTGCACACAGATATGCCAGGTCTGTAAAAGGATGAACATTCAAAACAGGGTTTGGAACAAGACCAAAGTCCAGAAGTATGTGAACAATTAGAACTTTCATCCCAGTGTATATAGCCTGTGAACATGAAGAAGAATACATCTGTTGTAAAGTTCTCTTCTTTGCGTTCACCGGCTGTAAACTCTGGCGGAAAGTTCTAGTTGTTCGTCCAACTCTGGACTTTTAGTCTTTTTTCAGAACCTGAGTGTTTCATATACATCTGTTTTACAGATGTGACTCATTTGCAAATAGCTGTTGGTTCCTTGCCTCTCAGGCAGGTGCACTCCAACCACAAAGGAAGCTCCCTATTAGTCGACTCTTACGACAAGCTTTAGGGTAAGCAGTGGGGTCTATTCTTGTTTTCCCTACAATAGGGCTCTGGAACCCACATGGCGAGTTGTAAATAAAGGACTTTCTTGATGCTGTTCGCATTTAGGAATATGGTGTCAGACCATTAGTTTTTGTAGATTCATTGACGTCAGTGTTCTCCCCCCCCCCCCCCCCCCCCCCCCCCCCCCCCCCCAATGTGTGTGTGTGCCCCACCCAAGCCTTTCTAAAATTCATATGCTCTCCTGATTGCCTGCCCTTTTCTTCGATAAGCTTTAGTGGTGGGTCTGTTCTCTTCCTCCCAAAATTGGATCTCGAAACCCACGCAGGGAAATGTTTAAACTTAAGACATTCTGCCGGCAGACAGTTATAACTGTTCTAGGAGGGAAGATTCTTAATTTGCCGTCATGTAACATTCTTAACTTGTTCAGTCTTAAGTAGTTTTTGCTTTAACTCATTCTGCCCAACTCTTTCTACTGCTTGAAAGCAGCAAATAATGTGGCCCTACGGGGTCTGCAGAGAAACTCTGAGACGTAAGAAGTTGAACAGGTAATCCAGACAGTAAGGAAGATATTCTTCTTTGGTTCGCCTGAAATAATTTGTCTATTTCAGCAATGTTATCTCTCAAAAAAATTTCACTGTCGTTTTTAGTCCATTCAGTGGTCCATAGAGTTTACATACGGTTGTTCCTTTTGGCCAGAACGTTTGTCTTAATTTGTTAAATTCTGCGCAGTCTTGAAGTACATATTCAGCTGTCTGGGGCACCTTTCCATAGGTGCACATGGCTGATTCGCCTGTCTTGAATTTTGTGTACAGAAAGAATATAACATTCTTCTGTGACAGAAGACGAGTGGTGATTTATATTAAATTACAATTGACCTAGAAGTGCATGTTACTGATTTTAGAATCGTCATCATAGCGCACCAGGTATACCCATATATGCTAAGTCTTCCGCAGCAAATGTCTTTAAGTGTAGGTTCTAACTGTTCCAGTGGTACACTGATTATACACACTTCATTCTCTTCTTCTCATCCACCGCAAATGAACTTAAGAGATAACCTGCAAGTTTTTGTTTCTTCCCTCATCTTACCAGCTGTTTTCTTTCTCCTTTCTTATTTTTCTTCTCCTACCATCATTTACTGCGAGTATCAACATCAGAGCACGATCACCGTAGCTCCAGTGAAGATTCTGTGGAAAACAATTGATTCCAGAAAAGAATATTTTGAGTTAATGAATATTTATATGACATATTTGTTGTTTGGTAGATGTTGACCATTGTTTTTATGTTTTTGTTTAATTTTTTTTCCAGTTCCTATTATTGTGGCCATCAATAAAATAGATAAACAGAATGCGAATGTAGTAAGTATATGCACTTGTTGTATGTCCTGGCAAAAAAAACATGCCTCATCCTTTTCTTCTTCAGGTTAACTGACTAAGCTGTGGCAGAAAGTTCTGGTTGTTCGTCCACTTTTTGTTCCAGAACTAGATAGATTTGACGTCTTCCCTTGAAGTCGGAGTAAATCTGCTTGTGAAAGGCAAAAGCCAGTAAAACGGTTGTACACGCAAAACTCAGGTCCAGGTAAAAGCTAAAAGTCCAAGCCGGGGATCACCCAGGATCTTTCGCCGAATTCACAGCTGGTAAACGAAGGAGAAGAAAAAGTTCCAGAACTTGATTTGTGCCGGCATATCTATTTACAGATCTGGCTTATTTGTGTGCAGACTTTTGGATCCTCGCCTATCAGGTGTCTGTTTGGGTGGGGGGAGAGTCAGTGCATCTATTGATTCCCCCTCCCCCACAGTGGGGTCCCAGCACCTACATTGGGGAACATGTATCAGAGCAGCAGTTCTCAACTTGTGGGTCGAATGACCCTTTCACTGGGGTTGCCTAAGACCATCAGAAAACACATATTTACTGAAGTTATGAAGTTTGTGGGGTCACCATAACACGAGAAACTGTATTAAAGGGTCGCAGCATTAGGAAGGTTGGGGGTCGCCACAACACGAGGAACTGTATTAAAGGGTCGCAGCATTAGGAAGGTTAGGAACCACTGTATTAGAGGAATGCTGATCTTATAGTCCTAATACAAATAAATTCTTCCAATCTGGGCACCAGAGCCCTATTTAATTTGTGAAGGTAGGAGATAGACCTGCTCCCTGCAAGCAGACATGTAATTAAAAAGTGACTAATTAAGAGTTTGGTGAAGTCGCATTTGTTGGCCTGAAAGGTGCAGATGTTACAGCCAGGCTGTTAACCACAAAATACCAACTGCCTGTTTAAGGGCTAATGCAGAAGAGGAAAAAACTGAGGTAAATTCAGGCAAAGAAGTTTGTAAACGTCTGAACAACTACGGGAAATATCTGAACAACTGCAGGAAACATCTGAACAACTGCAGGAAACATCTGAACAACTGCAGGAAACATCTGAACAACTGCAGGAAACATCTGAACAACTGCAGGAAACATCTGAACAACTGCAGGAAACATCTGAACAACTGCAATAAACGTCTGAACAACTGCAGGTGTCAGCTGTTATAAGGAGAAGAAGATAGGGATATATTAGGCAGCTCCTGGGAACGAAGAATCACAAAACAGGCAGTGATGTGGGGAAAAATGGCTTTGAGGAAACAAGGACATCCAAGAGAAACCATGTGATGAACATTGATGAGAGAGTATGCCGGACGAGACATCATTCACAATGGTGCACCAGACAGAAGAGAATGGAGAAATTCACAGCTAGCCCATTGTGACATATAATGACTGAACAGGATGATGATGGTGATCTTATTATGTGACTACACTAGTGGGTTAGATAATTACCTGATAAAACGTTGTAAGCAAACCAAGGACTGCTTACCAGGTAGCAGAAAGATATGAGCACTGCTGTTATAGGTGCTATTGGACTGGCTGTGTCTTCAGAAGAGTTTGAGGGACAATCAGTGTAACTGAAAGCATAGATTCCACCGCCCAGTGACCTAATTTAGTGCTTGGTGCGACACACTGAGCTTTGGATGTCATGTGGCATGTTTTTCCTTTGTGCCTCTGGTGTATTGTTGACAGCACTAAAATGGCGGGTGCATTTATGATTGACCATTTACACCACCATGAACTGTGATTCTGGTGTGGGACCATTAGTGTTGGAACATTTGACAGCTGCCTTGTGCATTCTTACTTTGCATGTGCTGGAACTGACAAGTTTTTCAGAAGTTTTTTTCAAATGGGACTGTGAAGGACATTTTGTGATTTCATGTGGCGCAGAAAACAAAGCAGTTGTGGGACCATCCCTCTGCAGTAATGCTGGAAGCTTGACTAACTCCAGAGGGAGGATAGAAGAGAGGTTGGCCCAGAGTTACTGGGTGGAGAACTGTGCAGGTTAAATGTACAATGTAAGAGAGTATTTAGATGATAGCATGGGCAGATCACCATTGCCTGGATGAGTTGAGTCAAGAATTAATTCGGGGCATGCTCCGTCCTCATCTTCAGCAGCCGGCGCAGAGTTCCAGTACTGATGGTACTGGTCACAATCTGGTTATATGACCGTCTCGCCTTTCCCCTGAGTGTAGTGAGCCGGCCAGACCTTCTGGTTACACCCAGGTGCCTCAATCTCTACAGGCCATAATAATCTTCTTTCTCTACTGATTCCATTGCTTGTTCCTGGATGAGAAAGCAGGATAGTTAGGCAGGGGTCGGCCAGACCCTGTACAAATTAATTACTACAGAAACTTGCAGGAAAATAAGCCCTGCTGTGCAGAAGTTAGTAGCCAAACACACACACAACTTGGCTAAAAATAAACACTAGTATCGGATTTGGGAATATTAGAACGATAGCTTGAAAATAAGAAGCAGAGGTAATGGAGAAGTACGATCAGGGTATATTATGGTTAAGTGAGGTTAGATTTCCTGCAGCAGATAATAAGAGCGGTTTGTGGGCTCACCCTCTTTTTCATAATAAAGAGAATATGGAATGAGGATGTCTAGGAGAAACCTTAAAACAAACATTGATAAAAGAGGCCAAAGTACTGGACTGGATTCCATCTATGATATCAAAAGGATTGTGAAAGACTGTGAGCCCTATGTGATAGATAAACGGTGATGATGATGTTCAGGAGAGAGATGACTATAAAGGATGTTCACCTCACTTCATTATCTTTTTTAAGTTGCTTTACTAATATATTCTGGTCAGAGCTCCTATAGCATGTTGAATATCTGTTGCAGGAGAGAACCAAGCAGATGTTGCTGGAGCATCAGATACAACTGGAGGAGTTTGGTGGGGACGTTCAGGCTGTTCCAATCTCAGCATTAAAGGTCAGTCATGCTTTCTACATAGATTTTAGCTTCGGTCTTATCACACAAGTTCAGCTTCTGTCTAATCATTATAATTTTAGTTTCTGTCTAGTCCCTTGAAGTTCAGCTTCTGTCTAGTCTTAAAAGATAGAACTTCTGTCTAGTCTTATGTTTCCGCTTCTGTCTAGTCTTAAAAGATAGAGCTTCTGTCTAGTCCTTTAAGTATCAGTTTCTGTCTAGTCTTAAAAATGTTCAGTCTGTCTAGTCTTAAAAGTTTCAGCTTCTGTCTAGTCTCTTGAAGTTCAGCTTCTGTTGCAGAACCAACCCAAGCATTTTTTTAAATGTTCATTTCACTAGGCCAGCTTACATCCACTAGTTTGCCATTGCTTCTCAATTGTCAGCCCTCAGTACCACTGATTAAACCAGTGCAAGGCGGTCTGCTTTCAGATCCCCACAGCTGGGATCGAACCCGGCGCATTGGAGTTCCAAAGCACATTCACGGCACCTAAGCCATAGACTCCGACTTAGGCAGTGGCACTGTTCGAAACAGAGGCACATTTTTTGCTTCTGCCGGACGGTGGCCGATGCATTTTTGCTCCATTTGTAGACTGGATATAGTTTCGTCGCCCAGCTTCTGAGTTGAATGCATGGCGTGACCCTGTGAGCTGCGGATTGCATTTGGAATGTTTTTTTGACTGTGACCAACGTGTTGGTGTGAACTGTAGATTCAGAAAGTGGCGCGATGCCTGTCATGCAGTGTTGTGGTGCCCGTATGTGATTAAAATTGATCGCGTGGGCAACTGCTGATCTATTGGCGACTTCTGCTACCATCAATGATGAACTGCAATTCTAATACTGATAAACATTCTGTGTGTTTTTCGTTGGCACAGGAGCGGAGCAAAGATGGGGTGACCCGTTTGCTATGAAGCTGAAACTAAGACTACCAGACTACTCCGACTTAAATTACTTCTCTTCTTCTTCTTTTGTTCGCCTGAAATAAGTTGTCTATATCAGCAGTTTTGTCTCTTGTATAAATTTCACTGTTGTTAATTCATTCAGTGGCCCATAGAGTTTACGTTCCACTGTTGTTCTTTCTGGCCAAAAGGTTTGCCTTAATTAATGTGTCAAATTCGGTGCAGTCCTAGAGTACATGCTCTGCTATCTGGGGCACCTTTCCACGGGTGCACATGGCTGATACGCCTATCTTGAATTTTGTGTACATGTGGTTACGTAATCTGTTGTGCCCTGTTCTGAGGCGGAGGATAATGACTTGTTCTGGTCTGTCCAACTTAAATTACTCTGTTACAAAGCTCTTATTTTGCCTTCAGGGATGGAGTTGTGAGGCTCAGTTGATAAACAAACCTGTTGTTCTCTCTGCTCCTTAGGGGGTCAACCTGGCAGAACTTCAGGAAGCCATAGTGACTCAGGCAGAACTAATGAACTTAAAAGGTGACCCGGTTGGTTTGGTGGAAGGCAGGGTTGTTGATGCCAGGCTAGATGAGAAAAGAGGGTAAGAGATGTCTGTGTCTGAGGCAGACAGTGTCGGTTTGCCTGGTTGGTCATTTACTTGTGGGTTAAAGTGTTTAGCTCCTTAGATTGGTTGCTGTATTTGTTTTTATTTTTTTTTAAATTTCAGAATTGTGTATGCTTGTTTGATTAGTTACTTTTTTGTGGGTTAAAATGTTAGCTTCATTGATTGATCACTTTCTTCTTGTTGACTGATTTGTTTGATTGGTTACTTTATTGTGGAAGATAGTGTCAGCTTGTTTGGTTGGTCACTTATTTTGGAATGTTTGTCAAAACTTTTTGATAGGTAACTAGGTGACTTATCAGCTTGTTTGATTGGTCACTTTCTTCTGGTTTAAATAATAAACTTTTTGTTTGTTTTTTGTTTTGTTTAAACTTGTCACTAGCTTTTAAAAAAAATTATACTGGTGTAAGAGGTATCACTTCCACCAGAAACCTAAAAGATGCTGAATGTAAAGTATGTTATGTATGACTAAAACAAACATCACTTGAGGGTATATCATTATGAGGATTATTGATTAAAAGTAGTTTTCCTCTTTGTTTCTTTATGTATTTATTGATTTTAACGACTTTCTGTAACTAAGACCTCTTCTTCTGCACATGTGTGTGTGCTTGTTAATGTATAAGTGCATGTGTGTAAAGAAGTGTTTGTGCGTGTGTGTGTGTGTATGTATATATATATATCTATATATATATATATAAATATCTTTGTATATATATATAAATATCTTTGTATATATATATATATATAAATATCTTTGTATTTACATTTTAGTTTGAGTATATGTAATTGCACGCATGATTATCTGTGCATGAGCATGAGTGTATGTCTTTGTATGAGTGTCTGTCTTTGTATATTACTATATGTATGAGTGTGCATTGTCTGTGTAGGTATGGGCATATAAGAGTGTATATTTGGAGTGTGTTGATTACATCTGCTTATTTGTGTGCAGACTGTTGGTTCCTGGCATCTCAGGCAGATGCACGCCGACTTCAAAGCAAACACCCCCCTATTTAATCGAATTTTACAACATGCTTGTTAGAGGGGCAGAGGGTCTGTTCTCTGTTGCCCCCACAATAGGGCCCTGGGACCCATACAGGGATTTCATACATTGAATGAGGTGTTCACTTGTAATCCGCTATGTTTACAGCTAAAAATTTTTTCTATCCCTTTAACCTTGTTTTCCTTGTTGCTTCAGTCGCCTAGCGATGGCTGTCATCCAGAGAGGGACTTTGAGAAAAGGGCAGTACCTTATTGCTGGAACAGCGTGGGCAAAGGTAAAATGCATGCATTGCTTAGTTTCCACCAGAATGCTTACTTTTCAGCGTACAGTGTCTGTTGAAAATTTACGGTTCGAACTTTATAGTGCTATGTTAAAATGCATTAGTTACCGTATGCTTATTTTTCAGTGTACAGTATCTGTCGATAATTCATGGTTCAAACTTCATAGTGCCATGCTAAAATGCTGTATGCTCACTTTTCAGCTTACAGTATCTGTCAGGTAATTGTGGTTCGAACTTCATAGTGCTATGTTTAAATGCATTAGTTTCCAAATGCTTACGGCAGGTACAATATCTATATAATAATCGTGGTTCCAGCTTCGTAGCAAATGGGCACTTCTTAACTGCTCCATTCCTGTGTCAACAAAAATCACGCAGAATGTCCATCATTGTCCCTCGCAAAAAAGCACAAAAATAACAGCAGTCAGTCTGACACTAGAAAGGCAGTTCATCATCGATGAAAGCAACAGTTACAAAAATCATTAGTTGCACATGTAATTAATCTCATAAGGCACCACAGGTGCTCTGGCAACAGACCACTGGCCATTTTCTGAATCTGCAGTTCACAGCACAAACCACATCTGGCACAGTCAAATAAGCATTCCAAGTGAAATATGCAGCTCACAGTGTTGCACCATGCACTCAGCTCAGTAACTGGGCAACGGGACTGTATCCTTTCAGTCTGCATATTGAGAAAAATGCAACAGCCAACTATTGTCTGAAGAAAAACTTGCCACTACTAAAACAGTAAACTTGCCTATTCTCCTTATCGACTGGAAGCTAATACAGAAGTAGTTAGGGTTCTTGCTAACCATATTAATGATACAGGTTCAACCTCCAGCTGTTGTTTAAACTAGCCAAGATGGCTGTGATGAACCATGAGGTGATGAAAAGTCACAGGCACCGAACAGGACACACATTGAGAATATCTGATAATAGTTAAATAGAATGTCATGACACTGGAACCCACAGAGCCAAAGAAATAAAGGGAGATATAAAAAAAACAAGAAGTAAATTAGGAACATGTTTGCAGAATGGTAGCAAGTAAAGTAATAGAGCCTTTTTACACGACTGGCGTCCAGAAAAATACCAAGCTTCCAAAGGGCCCTCACAACATCCAGCTTGTCATACATCAGTTCACCACCAAGTGGTGCAGAATTGGACAGTCTATCTGCCTGCTTTTTTCCCAATACACCGGCATGACCTGGGGGTAATTTAAATTATCAGCCATTAAAAAAAAAAATATCTCAGACATTTAAAATAATTGAGCTAATTAAAAATGAAAAGAAAAAGATGCGTAGATATAACTGATTTGTAACTTACATACCCAGGTAAGAGCTATGTTTGATGACCGAGGCAAACTGATTTGTAACTCTCATACCCAGGTAAGAGCTATGTTTGATGACCGAGGCAACCCTGTTCAGCAAGTCCAACCTGGCATGCCTGTGGAAATCTTAGGATGGAAAGAAACTCCGTCAGCTGGCGATGAGATTCTTCAGGTCAAGGAAGAGGTCAGTGTCTGTATTTGTTTGCTTACTTCCAGTTATAAGTGTGTAGAGGGGCCATGTGATCTGCTTACCTGTGAGCCCAAAGGTCTGGAGTTCAAATCCACATCAGATTTTGCATTTTAAAAAAAATTAGAAATTGATCAGAACTTCCAGGTTGGACCAACCTAAATTGGGTACCAGGTAATGTCCTGGGAAATAAAGACGGCCATGTTTATTGTTGACCACATCACCCGCCCGCTGTGGGCATGGTATCACAGATGTCTGAGAATGGTATATAATATTATGTAGAACCTATATTGATGTATTGTAATAAAACGAGGAAAGTGAGTTCACAAACTGGAAAGAATTTGGAGGCAACAGAGATGTGGTTCCTCTGATGAATGTTAAGAATCCCTTGGACTGCCAGAGTAACTAGCGAGGGTTGCTTGAAAGAAGTTAATGAAAGCAGATCAATATATTTATATACATAACACAATGTTTGTTTGTCACCTATAGACTCGGAAACTACTGAACCGATTTCTCCGAAATTTTTAAGGAAAATTTTCGAAACTAATATTTTCATTTTAGGGACATTTAATTAGAGCCCCATTCATAAATGTGCATGCGCAGTAGTCGGGACGCACGAGATACATACAGTAAACCAGAATATATCTGTGCAGGCAATGATTGAGACATTAACCATATTAAACACTTGCGATTTATATTTTCTTTCCTTTCAAAAAACCTTTGATGAGTTAGAGACAATGGGTGCGGCATTAACCATGTTAGACACGTGCCATTTCTGTTGTTGTGCCGTTTCATTAATACTTTAAGTTATTTTGGGGATATCCGTCTATAAGAAAACAATTTCTTGTAGTTTTGAGTTGTGATAGAATCGGGACACACATCTCAAATTATTTTTTTTTCGTTGCACTTCATGAAGCAGTAGTTGGTTGGCCAAATGGTTAGAATGCTGGGCTCCCGTGCAGGAGACCAGGGTTCGAATCCCAGTACAGCATTTTATTTTTTAAACCCAGGGGCAAAATAAAATCCTCACCTGCGCAGTCGTGGCAACAGCACCATCCATGCGGCCCTAAATACTTTTTAAAAAAGTGCAGACATATGGGTAAACCAGTTGATAATAAAAGAAAAGACAAGCACTGTTCTTTGGTTATGTGGTGGGCTTGATAATTAAAGATAATTAAAGAAAAGACAAGCACTGTTCTTTGGTTATGTGGTGAGCTTGATAATTAAAGATAATTCAAGAAAAGACAAGCACTGTTCTTTGGTTATGTGGTGGGATAATTAAAGATAATTCAAGAAAATACAATCACTGTTCTTTGATTATGTGGTGGGCTTGATAATTAAAGAAAAGACAAGCACTGTTCTTTGGTTATGTGGTGGGCTTGATAATTAAAGAAAAGACAAGCACTGTTCTTTGGTTATGTGGTGGGCTTTGGTGAATATTATGACTGGGAAGATCAGCGGTAGAAGAGGGAGAGGCAGACCGAGAGAGAAGATGACGGATGGATTGCGATGGAGGGATATCATCAGTTGAACTGACCCAGAGGACAAGGGGCCAAGATCTATGGAGATGCATGAATGATTATGCCAGTTGGCAGGACATTTTTAAAAGTAGGTAGTCATGTCTATCCACAACGTTCTGTCTCGTACTTTCAATCAGCTCTGACACAGATGATCCTGCATGCCATGATGTCAAACTGTCCAGCATGTTTCCTCTCTGTCTCCCTCTGCCTCTCCTCTCCTCCAGCTTCCCCACTGTCACGATGAGCTCCAGCCTTCTTCTCATCACATGACCAAAGAATGTAGATTGTCCCCCTCTGATGTGCTGTTGGCAGGAAAAGGGTTCTTTTTTTCTCCTTAAATAATATCCTGAGCATGATTTTAGTTGTTAGCAGGCAGTGTTTTGTTGTCAGCATACAGGAGATAAAGAGTCGCTGTGTATGTTGCCAAAATATAGGCGCTGTACATTCTGTGTGTGTGTGAGTAGATGTTGTGGATGGGTAGACATATCCATTTATTTTCTTAGAGTTGAAAAATAAAAAAGAAATTACTTGGGGGTCCTAAAGTAGATAAAATAGACTAGCTGTAAACACTGACTAGGCTATCAGTAGACAAGTGGTGGGCTAACAGTAGAGAATTGGTAGCTAATAGTAGACAAGTGGTAGCTATCAGTAGACAAGTGGTGGGCTAACAGTAGAGAATTGGTAGCTAACAATGGACAAGTGGTGGGCTAACAGTAGAGAATTGGTAGCTAACAATGGACAAGTGGTATCTAACAGTAGACAAGTAGTAGACTAACAGAAAGCATCAGGAGATTAAAAGTAGACAGTGGTAATTTAGTGGGCTAATAGTAGACAGTGGACACTTGGTCAGCTAACAGTAGACACTTGGTCAGCTAACAGTAGACACTTGGTCAGCTAACAGTAGACACTTGGTCAGCTAACAGTAGACACTTGGTCAGCTAACAGTAGACACTTGGTCAGCTAACAGTAGACACTTGGTCAGCTAACAGTAGACACTTGGTCAGCTAACAGTAGGCACTTGGTCAGCTAACAAGAGACACTCGGTCAGCTAACAGTAGACACTTGGTCAGCTAACAGAAGACACTTGGTCAGCTAACAGTAGACACTTGGTCAGCTAACAGTAAACACTTGGTCAGCTAACAGTAAACACTTGGTCAGCTAACAGAAGACACTTGGTCAGCTAACAGTAGACACTTGGTCAGCTAACAGTAGACACTTGGTCAGCTAACAGAAGACACTTGGTCAGCTAACAGTAGACACTTGGTCAGCTAACAGTAGACACTTGGTCAGCTAACAGTAGACACTTGGTCAGCTAACAGTAGACACTTGGTCAGCTAACAGTAGACACTTGGTCAGCTAACAGTAGACACTTGGTCAGCTAACAGTAGACACTTGGTCAGCTAACAGTAGACACTTGGTCTGCTAACAGTAGACACTTGGTCTGCTAACAGTAGACACTTGGTCAGCTAACAGTAGACACTTAGTCAGCTAACAAGAGACACTTGGTCAGTTAACAGTAGGCACACGAGGTTGATTTTATACCCCCTACCCATCCTCCATGCAGCTGTTCTTGTCAATGACATTGACTCAGTGAAATGTGCCTGACCTTCTCACAGGCGGAACTGAAACGTGCGGTTGCCTGGCGCCTGGCCCAGCAGATGAAAGTCAAGCAAGAGCAGGATGCCGCGGTGATCAATGAACTACGTAGCGAACATGACAAGGAATACACGGCAGCCTTGGTCACCCGCAGACAGCAGGGGTTCTACAGGGCCAGACAAACCGGCCCTCGTAGGAAAGAGATTACCCATGAGGACGAGCCTCAGTTTTCTCTTGTTATCAAGGGTAGGTTTTTTTAGTATCAACACTCACTGACTCAGTTACGAGCTCTCTCTCTCCAGCATTCATCAACTCACTAATAATTACCGACTCACTCACAGTCTTCTCAATAACTGACTGTCACCAACGGTCTCCCCTGTACTCACTGGCTCAAACATCATCTGCTTCCACAACAGTCACTGACTCAATCACTAACTGTCTTTCCAATCATTGACTCAGTTTTAAGTTCACTAATAATCACTGACTCAATTACCAACTTTTCCTCTAGCTATTACTGACTCAGTCATCAACTGTCAGTCACACCAGCAATCACCAACTGTTTCTCTAGCAGTAACTGACTCGGTCATTAACTGTCTCTCCAACAATCACCGACTCACACCAACTCACTCTCCAACAATCACTGACTCAGTTTCAGCCATTTCTCCAGCAATTACTGGCTGTCTCAGTCACCAGCTCACTCTCCAGCAATCATCTACTCACTCTCCAGTAATCATCTACTCACTCTCCAGCAATCATCTACTCACTCTCCAGCAATCACCTACTCACTCTCCAGCAATCATCTACTCACTCTCCAGTAATCATCTGCTCACTCTCCAACAAACACTAGCTCACTCTCCAGCAATTATCTACTCACTCTCCAACAATCATCTGTTTGCTGACACTGTCACCTAGCTACGTAATGGGATAGGTGTCATTTATATGTTGAGGAATTTATAACACTGACATAGATTTCATTTATGCATTGGGGATTTTGTCAGATGATACTGATTACATTTATACATTGAGGAATTAGGTCACAGTGATATAGATGACATTTATGCATTGGAGAATTCGGTCACAATGATATTGATGACATTTGTACACTAGGGAGTTCATCATAGTGACACCTGATAGAGATCATTTGTTGAGAAAGTTATCACAGTGACATAATTGGTTCAGTTTGTATGTTGAGTAAAGTAATTATGTGTATGTTTGGTTTCATGTGAAGGTGACGTAGACGGCACTGTAGATGCCCTTTTGGATGTCCTAGACACATACAAGTCTAGAATGTGCAGACTCGATCTCATTCACTTCGGCGTAGGCCACGTGACCGAGTCTGATGTGGAGATAGCAGCTGATTTCAATGGTATGTGCTCTTGCAGGTTGTTGTTGTTATTGATCCTGCGGAGCATGAGCTTTCACCCTTTGGCCCAATTGTTTTTTTTTTTTTGCTGGGGTGTCTGTGGATTACCTTCCTCCCTGGACAGCAGCCAGAAATGCCCTGTCCCAGTTCGAAAGGAAATATGGATTGTGTGTCTGCCTTCCCCTTTGACACATAGATAAGGCGGGGCTCACAGTGTGCTCATTCCCAACCACCAGATTGCCTGCAGGTTTCGCTGAGCTCTTCATGGCTCTAAGCATAACCTAAGCAGGAGTAGTTGGGGCAACTGGATCGTGACGTCCTGAGTCCCTGTGCCTGCACGATAGTTTCCGGTAACAGTGACTAGGCTCATAGCGGCTCTTGAACCCTGGAAAAAACCCTTGAAAAATTGGTGAATTTGGCTGTAAACCTTGATTCGTACATGTGAAATTTTTTTTTTTAAAGCTCCTGTAGTGGCCCTTGAAATCTAGAAAAATGCTGCAACTGCAACTTTCTCAAAAACCACAACTCCACTACTTCATTTGCTTCATTTTCTTTTCTTGATATTTACAATATTCATATTACTATTTGAATAAAACATGCTTTATTGATAAAATACAATTGCCATGTGAAAGACAGGTGTTTGGGAGGACCAATGTTAGACGGGCCTATGTGCCCAATTTGTGACCCTTTGAAAATAAAGTTTGTTTGTTCACCATTTAGTTGATAAGCTGCCAGAGGAAAACCTGCCAGTTACTGCCTATATTTACCACTTTTGCTGTGTTGGGGAGTGGGGTCTTTTAGTCTGAAGATTTAAGGTCGCCTGGCTATTGCTGTTGCCAGGAGCTGTGCAGGGGAGGATTCTATTTTTGCCTCCTGACAGAAAGAAAACATCAACAACCATATCAAGGATTCGAACCTGGGTCTCCTACATTAGAGCCCAGCGCTCTTAACTATTTGCCAGCTGCTCCTGATTTGATTGATAATGAAGTTGAAAGAATCTAAATTTGTTTGCACTAGGTTTTATTCCATGTGACTCAGTCTCTTTCCTCAGAATTGCTAGCTGCGCGTGATAGCGTGTATCAACTCCACAGCTCCAGCTACGATTCCCAGGAATTTCTCTTTTTAAAAAAACCGTCTGGAAAGGGAACCCATGATTTTAAGAGCATGAGGAAAACACTTGCCATGGAGACTAATTGTTTAGTGTTTTTCCCCCGACGGGCTGCTGGCATGAAAAAGTCTGTTACTATTATCACATCTGAAGCCTAGAACAGTGAGTCTGTATTACTTCACATCTGAGGACTAGCACACTGAATCTGTATTACTTCACACCTGAGACCTAGCATACGGAATCAGTATTACTTTACACCTGAGACCTACCACAATGAATATGTATTACTTCACACCTGAGACCTAACATATTAAATCAGTATTACTTCACACCTGAGACCTAGCATACTAAATCAGTATTACTTCACACCTGAGACCTAGCATACTAAATCAGTATTACTTCACACCTGAGACCTACCACAATGAATATGTAATACTTCACACCTGAGACCTACCACAATGAATATGTAATACTTCACACCTGAGACCTACCACAATGAATATGTAATACTTCACACCTGAGACCTACCACAATGAATATGTAATACTTCACACCTGAGACCTAGCATACTGAATCAGTATTACTTCACACCTGAGACCTAGCATACTAAATCAGTATTACTTCACACCTGAGACCTAGCATACTAAATCAGTATTACTTCACACCTGAGACCTACCACAATGAATATGTATTACTTCACACCTGAGACCTAGCATACTGAATCAGTATTACTTCACATCTAACACTGCATGTGTCACCTGAGACCTAGCATACTGAATCAGTATTACTTCACATCCAAGACTAAGAAACCATGGCCAGTTCCAGATATAAGGCCATACAACTAAAACGGGAATTCCCGTTTGTGTGAGGTTGGCTTGGCCGGTCGATGGTAACAGTTGTTATCAAGTTGATTTATACACATATTGAACTACAGTTTAATTAATTTTCAGTATGTTTTATTTAATTAATTATTATTTTGAAGATAAATAAATAGGCTTTTAGAAAGTATTTATCTTCAAAATGAGGCCAAGAATTGTTCATTTATGTAGATTCTTTAATTTATGCACAATTAGTTGTAGTATCCAAACCGACACCCCACCTCCTCTTTTTATGATTTTTATTTAGTGCACAGGGGCTAGTAGTTTAGTTTGAATTTGTTTCCATGACATAAGTTTAGTTTGTCTGTAGCAGCTAGTAATTATCAATCCAGTGACTTATTTTTATCTGTTTGGACCTGTAGGAGAGGTGTATGCATTTAATGTCCAGGTGCCAGAAAAAGTAGCGGCTCTGGCAAAAAGCAAGCAGGTGCCGATCAAGAAACACAATATTATCTACCGTCTGTTTGAAGATCTCATCGCTAGCATTAACAAAAGGTTGCCGAAAATTAAGGAAGATGTCATCAAAGGTGGGTCCTTATCTGTGGAATTCATCAAAGGCATGATCTGTATTATATGTTGGTAGTGCATGTTGTGTGATCATCAGAGGTGTCATCTCTGGTGTGTGATCATCAGAGGTGTCATCTCTGGTGTGTGATCATCAGAGGTGTCATCTCTGGTGTGTGATCATCAGAGGTGTCATCTCTGTTGTGTGATCATCAGGGATACCATCTGTAGTGTATGTTGTATAATAGTAATTAAATATAAATTAATTCGTGTAAATTGTGACATAGAAGTTAAGTTTTAAAGCCTTGAGAAAATCTTTCCAAAACTGGTGGTTGTATAAAATGTGTTAGTTACGTATAGGCCTGGATGAGAATTGTCTGGTAGTCTTAGTTTCAGCTTCATAGCAAATAGGTCACCCCACCTTTGCTCCCCTCCCGTGCCAACGAAAAACACAGAATGTTTATCACATTCCCTGTGAAAAGATTGTCAGACTGCTGTTTCAGCATATCTAGCATACACTGGCATTTAAAGCATATGGTAGCCATCCGAATTGCTAACACAAACAGTCCGACATTAGAAATGCAGTTCATCATTGATGGTCGCAGAAGTCACCAACAGATCAGCAGTTGCCCACGCGATCAATTTTAATCACATACGGGCACCGCCAACATTGCGACGACAGGCATCGCGCCATTTTCTGAATCTACAATTCACACCACCACATTGGTCACAGTCGAAAAAACATTCCAAATGAAATCTGCAGCTCACAGTGTCACGCCATGCATTCAGCTCAGAAGCTGGGCGACGAAACTATATCCAATCTACAAATGGAGCAAAACTGCATTGGCCACCGTCCGGCAGAAGAATATCGTGTGGTATTATTGTTGACTTCGTTTTAGAATATGTTAGGTGCACAGTATGTGTTGATTATTATGTTGTCATTTCATTTGTTATCACAATTACAGGTGAGGCCAAAGTACTGCAGGTGTTTCAGGTGACCCTGCCAAACAAAAAGAAGAGCTACGTTGCAGGCTGTCGATGCACATTTGGCTCCATGTCCAAGAAACTTAAGGTGAAGGTGATGAGAGATGGCGAAGTTGTGTGCGAAGGTATGTGATGTCGCCGTGTTTGGTGTGATTATGTGATGTGACCATGTGTGGTGACATCGTATACTAGCATGTTTATTCTTCTTCCTGCTTGCATTCACCAACTGCAAACTCCGGCAGAACGTTCTGATTGTTTGTCCACTTCTGGACTTTCATCTTGTTCCAGCACTTGAGTTTTGTCCATTTTACAGAGGTGTAGGTGCTAACTGTTCACAAAGCACACTGGACAGCTGACTTAAGGTGTAGATGCTAACAGTTCACATAGCACACTGGACAGCTGTCTTAAGGTGTAGATGCTAACAGTTCACATAGCACACTGGACAGCTGACTTAAAGTGTAGATGCTAACAGTTCACATAGCACACTGGACAGCTGACTTAAAGTGTAGATGCTAACAGTTCACATAGCACACTGGACAGCTAACTTGAGGTGTAGATGCTAACAGTTCACATAGCACACTGGACAGCTGTCTTAAGGTGTAGATGCTAACAGTTCACATAGCACACTGGACAGCTGTCTTAAGGTGTAGATGCTAACAGTTCACATAGCACACTGGACAAATGTCTTGAGGTGTAGATACTAACTGTTCACAAAGCACACTGGACAGCTGACTTAAGGTGTAGATGCTAACAGTTCACATAGCACACTGGACAGCTGACTTAAGGTGTAGATGCTAACTGTTCACAAAGCACACTGGACAGCTGACTTAAGGTGTAGATGCTAACAGTTCACATAGCACACTGGACAGCTGACTTGAGGTGTAGATGCTAACAGTTCACATAGCACACTGGACAGCTGACTTAAGATGTAGATGCTAACAGTTCACAAAGCACACTGGACAGCTGACTTGAGGTGTAGATGCTAACAGTTCACATAGCACACTGGACAGCTGACTTAAGGTGTAGATGCTAACAGTTCACATAGCACAATGGACAGCTGACTTAAGGTGTAGATGCTAACAGTTCACATAGCACACTGGACAGCTGACTTAAGGTGTAGATGCTAACAGTTCACATAGCACACTGGACAGCTGACTTAAGGTGTAGATGCTAACAGTTCACATAGCACACTGGACAGCTGACTTAAGGTGTAGATGCTAACAGTTCACATAGCGCATTGATTATTTATACATGTTCTCTTTCTCACATGCATCCCTCTGTACCTTGCTCAGACATCATTTTATCTAATCTCATGTTCTCTGTCAGCATTCATTTATAAATGGTCTTCAGATTGTCTTCTCTGTCCAATAATGTGTTAATGTGACTTTTGCTTTTGCAACCCCAAAATCTGCTTTTTCATTCCCTTGCAGTCCAGCATATCCCGGACAATAAGCACATCAACATCATCATCATCAGGTGCCTTGCCGACTGGCATGGGCGATCATGCCTCTCCATAATCTGCGATCTACTGCAGCATGTATCAGTTCGTGTGCTGATACACCTCCATGCCATGCAACAAGACTGTCAAGCATCTTCTCTCGTTGTCTTCCTCTATCCCTCCTTCCACAGATCTTTCCAGTGGTCACAACATGTTCTATTTTCCCTCTTCTAATAACATTGCCGAAAAATGGTGACAGTCTTCTTCCGATGTCTGTGATAAGTTGTCTTCGGGCTCTCGCCTCTTTCAAATTCTCTTAGTTGCTTTTTTTTGGCTGTCCAAGGTATTCTAAACATTCTTCTGTAAAACCACATCTCTGAGGCCTCTAAAAATTGTTTGGCCTGCCTATCGATTTTCCAGGATTCACAGCCATATGTAGCAAGAAATCTTTTTCTAACTCTCAATGACAAGGATATATTGCACAAGATGTTTTTCATTTGATAAAATGCAGTTTTTGCCTGTCCAATTCCGTTTCTTATTTCAGTTATGCATCTTCCATCTGATGTTTTCCATGTGCTTAGATACTTAAATTTATGTACTTGTCCTTTTATTACACATCTAGGACATTATAAGCACATAGATCCCTGTAATGTTAATGATATACACAGTCACACATACATACACTGACACAAACATCTAGCATGCATACACATACTCACGAATATAGATGCATTCATACTTACATATCCAAGCATATCCACCTGTGCATACAAACACACACACTTATGCATATTCCCTGTGTGGGTTATGGGACCCCATTGTGGGGGAAAACAAGAATAGACCCACAGCCTGCCCTATTGTTGTAAGAGTCAGCTAATTGGGAGCTTCCTTTCCAAGTTGAAGTGCATCTGCCTGAGAGGCAAGGAACAAACAATCTGCTCCAAAATAAGTCAGACATATAAAATGGATGTGCACACAACACTCGGGTATGGAACATGGCTAAAATCCAGAAATTTTCACAGGAGATTACAGGCCGTGAACACGAAGAAGACTTATGCTTACACATTTAAATACTAATACAAACATTTCAGTTTGAGTGCTGGCCGCTTTCTGTGCCATGATGAAAGGCTCAAGAGTTTATGCCTGCTTCCTGTGGATTGTTCTGTGTCAGCTTGAGGGAGTTTTCCTGCTTCCTTTGCTTACTTTTCACTGTCATTTCCAGATTTGTTTCACTGGGGTGGTATTCATTGTGTACAGCCCTTTTAGATTCATATGTAGTCCATGAATTCTGCTGTTATTTTTGCTAGTTCTGCATTCTTTTCTTCACTTCTAGGTATATTGCAGTGGGACTAATTATATGCAAACTGTTTTAGTTTTTCCTCAGTGTCCACGCAGTGCTCCTTTTAGATGTGCATTGTTTTTGATCTTCTTAATTCCCTGTGTGTGTCACTGGGGCTTCATTGTGGTGGGGGGGGGGGGGGGGGGGAAATAGACCCACTGTCTCCTAAACAAGCAAGTTGTAGGAGCCGACTAAAGGGGAGCTTACTTCAAAGTCAGAGTACCTCAGTCTGAGCAGCAAGGGACAACCTGCGGCACACAAATAAGCCAGTTCTTTTTTTTTTCTTCTGCGTTCGACATCAGTCATGCTAAACATTGAGTCCCGTCTGGGTCACAAATACGATTGTGCGTTTAAGGTCGCCACCGGTCCCCTATAGCTTCTCTTGCAATGTGGCTCCCTTGGGCCAGATCCACAGTCTTTGCTGGGAGAGGTTAGGGCAGTACTGTAGTATGTGCCCAGGGGTCTGTCGTTCTGCTCCACAATCACAGGCAGCAGATTCTTTTATGTCTATCCTGTACACGTATGCTCGAAGATAAAAAAAATAAGCCAGTAAAACAGATGTACATGCAAAACTCAGGCCCTGGCACAGAGCCATGGTCCAGAGGGACGAACAACCAGGACTTTCCGTCGAAGCTTAAGCCGGTGAACAAAAAAGTTCTTCTAAATGTGAACATCTGTTTCTGTTGCAGAATCTGTGGTTTCACTGTGGTTTTTGTTGCAGGATCTGTGGTTTCACTGTGGTTTTTGTTGCAGGATCTGTGGTTTCACTCAAGCACTTCAAGAATGAAGTGGACAGCGTCAAGAAGGAAGAGGAGTTTGGCATATCCTTGAGTGACCAAGACTTTGTCTTTCAGCCCCAGGATATGATTGTCAGTTATGAGGTCAAGGATGTTGACCAGGAAATAGATTGGAATCCAGGATTTGTAGGGAAGAGCTCTGTGCGTGATTGAGACCTTTAAATATGTGGAAGAGAATTGTGAATTATTGTAATTTGGTAAGACGGATCTGAGTGAGTGCAGTCGTCTTAGTTCATTATAATGTGATCAGAAAGCACTGTGAATGATTATAATCTCTCTTGTTTCATTACAGTGTGATGGCAGAGCACTTTAGAAGATTGTTGTCTTTCATGGATCATTATAGTGTGATGGAAGGACAGTTTAAGTGATTGTTATCTTTCATGGTTCGTTATAGTGTGATGGGAGGTCAGTTTGAGTGATTGTTATCTTTCATGGTTTATTATAGTGTGATGGGAGGTCAGTTTGAGTGATTGTTATCTTTCATGGTTTATTATAATGTGATAGGAGAGCACTTTGAGTGATTATCTTTCATGGTTTATTATAATGTGATAGGAGAGCACTTTGAGTGATTATCTTTCATGGTTTATTATAATGTGATAGGAGAGCACTTTGAGTGATTATCTTTCATGGTTCATTATAATGTGATAGGAGAGCACTTTGAGTGATTATCTTTCATGGTTCATTATAATGTGATAGGAGAGCACTTTGAGTGATTATCTTTCATGGTTCATTATAATGTGATAGGAGAGCACTTTGAGTGATTATCTTTCATGGTTCATTATAGTGTGATAGGAGAGCACTTTATAAGATTGTTATCTTTCATGGTTCGTTATAGTTTGATAGGAGAGCACTTTGAGTGATTATCTTTCATGGTTCATTATAATGTGATAGGAGAGCACTTTGAGTGATTATCTTTCATGGTTCATTATAATGTGATAGGAGAGCACTTTGAGTGATTATCTTTCATGGTTCATTATAATGTGATAGGAGAGCACTTTGAGTGATTATCTTTCATGGTTCATTATAATGTGATAGGAGAGCACTTTGAGTGATTATCTTTCATGGTTTATTATAATGTGATAGGAGAGCACTTTGAGTGATTATCTTTCATGGTTCATTATAGTGTGATAGGAGAGCACTTTGAGTGATTATCTTTCATGGTTCATTATAATGTGATAGGAGAGCACTTTGAGTGATTATCTTTCATGGTTCATTATAGTGTGATAGGAGAGCACTTTATAAGATTGTTATCTTTCATGGTTCGTTATAGTTTGATAGGAGAGCACTTTGAGTGATTATCTTTCATGGTTCATTATAATGTGATAGGAGAGCACTTTGAGTGATTATCTTTCATGGTTCATTATAATGTGATAGGAGAGCACTTTGAGTGATTATCTTTCATGGTTCATTATAATGTGATAGGAGAGCACTTTGAGTGATTATCTTTCATGGTTCATTATAATGTGATAGGAGAGCACTTTGAGTGATTATCTTTCATGGTTCATTATAATGTGATAGGAGAGCACTTTGAGTGATTATCTTTCATGGTTCATTATAGTGTGATAGGAGAGCACTTTGAGTGATTATCTTTCATGGTTCATTATAATGTGATAGGAGAGCACTTTGAGTGATTATCTTTCATGGTTCATTATAGTGTGATAGGAGAGCACTTTATAAGATTGTTATCTTTCATGGTTCGTTATAGTGTGATAGGAAGTCAGTTTGAGTGATTGTTATCTAGTGGGATGGGAGAGCATTTTGTATGATTGTTATCTTTTATGGATCATTATAGTGTGATTGGAGGGCAGTTTGAGTGATTGTTATCTTTCCTGGTTCTTGTGTGATAGGAAAGTACTGTGAATAATTAAAATCTAATCCGAATCATGGCACGAATTTCGTTATTTGAAGCCTTAACCTAGCTGTGGCAGCGGGCTCAGATATAACCTAACAGTTATAACCTAACAGTTGAATGGGGTTTCTCAGACATGTCCTCGGGCAACCTCATCCGAATCATGGCACGATTTTATTATTTGAAGCCTCAACATGGGGGGGGGGGGGGGGGGGGGTGTGTGTGCTAATATAATCTAACAGTTGAATGGGGTTTCTGGGATATGTCCCCAGATGATCCCCATTCAAATGGTATAACTTTGTGTCGCTGTGTGTTTGTCGCTCAGTGTGATGTCCTGGTGGGGTTGAACTTCATTCATTTAAATGCTGATGGAAGATATGTTAAATGAAACAACATACAAGAACTTGGAATGTCTAGGTTGTTCTTGGCTGATTCTCAAAGTCATTGCAGAGCGGTCTGCTGCCAGAGCATGGTGGCATTTTGAAACTGTGTTCATAACATGTAAGCCACAGGTGATTTGTTAATTTTTAGTTGCTTTTTTGTTCAAGCATTGATGTCCGTTAAAAGTGTTGTTTGTAGATTTGGACAGTTATAGAGAAAAAGAATATACTGGTCAAAAGACAAATGCAAAAAAGCATCAACAGCGATAACTTAAAAAAGGCTAACCTGCTCAACAAACGCCTGAAAAAGTCAGATGTATCGGCCGAAAGTGCACATATTGCAGCTTTGCTTCAAATATGCAGTGTAATTACCTCTAAACCAAAAAGAGGAACCTGTCAACCCTAATTGTAGGGCAGCCGAAAGAGCAAGTGAGTGTCACTAATCCCTAGTTTATTCTGGGTTGTTTTAATTGATGATGTTTTTGTTATAATAAAACATTTACCATGCACATATCTTCATTTTGTTTCCTCCTTTTTGTAATCTCTGTGAAACAAAACTACTGTCATGGAGTGAAAACAGATGCCTGAGGAAACTGACGAATATCTTCTTCTTCTTGTTAGCATTCACTTGCTATAAACTCCGGTGGAAAGTTCTAGCTGTCTGCTTCTAGACTTGTGTCTTGCTCAGGAACTTGTTTTATGTGCAGATCAGTTTTACAGATTTGGCTTATTTATGTGAAGACAGTTGGTCCCTTGCCTCTTAGGCCGTTGCACTCAGACTTAGAGCCCCCCAATTAGTTGCCTTTTATGACATGCTTGTTAGAAGAACCGGGCATCTATTCCCACCTGTTGTCATATGGGCCCTGGAATTCATACATGGAGATGAATATTTTCTTCTTTGCTCACCGGCGGAAAGTCCTGATTGTTCGTCCTTGTGGACTTTGGTTTTGTGCCAGGGTCTGAGTTTTGCGTGTGCGTCCATTTAACTTGCTTATTTGTGTGCAGTTGGTTGTTCCTTGCCGCTCAGGCAGATGCATTCCGACGTCGAATGAAGTCCCCAATTAGTCGACTTTTACGACAAGCTTTTTGGGGGGAAGCAGTGGGTCTATTCTTGTTTTCCCCACAATGGGACCCCAAAACCCACAGGGGGAGGAGACAAAAATTAAATGGGATGAACTCAAGAAAGATAAGGAAAAAAGATAAATGTCTGCGTAGCCACCAGTTTCGACAGCTAAAAAACAAAGGAGATGGCAACTATAGGCACATCCTGGGGAGAAGTGGATAGATTGGATAGAAAATCACCAAACATGCATTGAAATTGAAACAGATTGAGGAAGCAAGGATGTCGAAGAGAAACCCTAAATGAATGTCAATAAGAGAGGCCAAAGGTTCTTAACTGGATTCTTCGTTTCGTTCGTCTGAGTGACGACATTGTGTCTTGTCTGTTTACAATAAAGCCTGCATATTTTCGGCTGATTTAACCAAGCATTTGTTGAATGTTTTGTTTAAAAAAAAAAGTAAAGGACCCTTTTCCCTGCCTTTAGGCGTATAGGGCTAGACCTATATTTTTATAGACCAGTCGGCACAAGATGGGTGATGTGGTCAGCATCACGCCGGCCGCCTTTACTTTCCCGGGACTGCAGCCAGTACCTACTCAAGGCTGGGAATGTTTTGTGACATGACATATATTTCTGTATTGGTATGGAATCTGTTTTTTAAACAAAAGAGATTAGTTTGTACATTTGTTTGAGTGTTTACTTTTCATTTCAAGGCAACTTATTACAATAGCTCTGTTCAGACTCATATCTCATCAAAATTGGCAACATCATGCTCATCAAAATTAGCAACATCATTTCTTCAGAATTAACAATATTGTCTCACCCAGCAGCTGTAGTAATAAAAAAAATAAAAAAAACAATCATAACCTCTCAAATGTGTGTGGCAGAGACTGTAAAAATTATTAAAGGATGAAAGTACTTCAAACAGATACATCTGTGGCTTAGGCGTTGCAAATGCAGGTTTGTAATTCTGAAATACCTAGTTTAATTAAAGCTACTGGTGATCTGGCAGAAGACAACCTTGCATTGTTTTTCCTCAATAGTATCGACAGCTGATTATTTAGAAAGCAATGGCAAACTAAGGTAACATAAAATTGTCTAGTAAAATCATAAACTGCTAAAAATAATGCTGAGGTTGGTTCTGCAACATTCTGTAAAGGATACTCAACTTACTTTAAACAGACAGAAGTAATTATCTTCTTCTTCTTCTTCCATTCAGTTAAAATAAATTATCTGTATCTGGAATGCTGTCTCTAGTATGAATGGTCCATGGCTTGTCCGGCTTTCACAGTAGCTCTACCTGCAAGCCTATCAGCTTGCTCATTTCCTTGTACCCCCACATGTCCTGGCAAGAAAGTGAAACTAATTCTTTTCAGCCATGAACTCTGAAGAGCCACCAACCACTACCTTCAGACCCAGCCCTTTTCTATCTTATTCTTTTCCAAGACTAAGCCCAGGAATGGGGTTTCTCCTCTCCGTAGCACAAACCCTAGACTGTATTGCAGAGATCATGTGTTGCCTATGGCAAAATTTTGCTTCTTTCGACCTGCCTTGTCTATCCCAAAAGAAAGACAGGGATCTCTAAAATGCTTGCACTTGTGAATGCATTCTGACATCACACAATGCTATAAAATCACAAGCTGTACCTGGATATAACAAAACAAGTTATTATAAATATTTTCTGTCAAGGATGCTATGCCCACAACTCAGGATTCATGCTAGAAATGAGACAAACAGCAGTGTTATCTTTCATGCATTCACATGAGGGACCCATAAACAGAAAATGTATACTATATATACTCTGGGTCAAGGCACTTCCTAGGACAAAACAAGCCACAATCTATGCATTACAGAACACGTAACCAC